GGGGTACGTCTGTAGGTACGCATATTTCATTTATTGTGGCCCCGTAAGCTGAAGGGGAATGCTATTTAGAATTACGGTTGTTTTTTCTTCTGTGAGAAGGATTGTAAGATGAATGGTGGACGACGGATACGAGACGAGGTCATGAAAAGGAGTGGTGATATCATATGTGCTGTATGTAGCAGTGTGTTAGGGACGTAGGGTGAGCAGGAAGCTCGGCGCCGTCGGCATAGGCGGGCGGTGAGAATCAGGACCGAGTGCAAAGGCCATGGGGTGGACCCGTCTTTCTCGGGTGTCGTGGGACTCGGACGGTCAGGAGCAGCATGAATTGCACATGTTGACCTGTGTCACTAAAGACAGAGTGAGGTTGACCGAGGTGAAGGGTTTACGGACACAGACAGAAAGAAATGACGTCAAGATGCAGTCCATAATGACGTTAGTGATGCTTTATGAGGGCGTGGTTGATGGAGGACTACGCAAAAGGTGGCAAGAGACCCGGGTCGCGGTTGTTTTAGGATCGGCTCAGAAACTGTTGCCGAACGGACGAACGCAATAGGGGTTTCCCGGCCCCATGTCATTCAACCGAGCGAAATCGTCGGCGGTAGACGATTGCTGTCACTTTACGACGAGTGTGTCGGCCCACCGGCCATACGGAGATATTCCGACTGCAATTTTGGGAAAGGGTCGTATCCCGTTGTACCCAGTCGTCACCACCGGGGCACAGCAGACGCTATAGATTTTGCATGCTTCACAAAATCTGTAGAATCATAGGGGGACAGATGGGCATACTTGCAGATTCATGGCTGCCAGCGGTTCGGCCTCACAATAGTCTTTAATCTTTCGAATTAATCTCTCGTTTTATGGATCTACTGACAGTTGCGTCCCGTCTAGTACGATGAGATCTCGAGCCTTTGTTCTTCCTCTAGCACCGTAGTAGAGGTGGATGGACCTTACAAAAAGACACACACATAATTCTGGCTCCCGGGGAATAAATTTAGGAAATTGCTAAATTCGCACCCCCTTTCCTTTGATTCACACCCTTCCTTCAAAATCGTATATCTAAAATCCCTATTCATTTTAAGATTTGTTTTCTGACAAAGGTATTACTCGATAATCTAGGCCATTAATTGGCAAGTAATACGTAAGAATTACCTAAGGTACTACTCACGCCTGTGGTCACAGTAACCACAGGCGTGAGTATTTCAACCACCCGTCAATCACATAATCGAACTTGCACAGCAACAGCTAGAGAGACGCTTGATGTATTGAAAATCTACACGCCAAAGCCAATGTGATGACTCTGCTATCGTAAAACGTATGGATGACTATGATAAAGTGAACTTGGCGACTTCAAATAAGTTAACGAGCATTTCGTTTTCGTACTCGTCCTTGCCCTTCTCGCACTTCGTTCGTAAGCCCATTACTACACTACTCCCAGCACGTCACCCATCTTCCCACAGCCGTGGGCACTACCGTAACCTGAAGCATCCCTATCTTCACCAAGCCTTACGACACCTAACTTCAATCGCTGCCGCAAAACCAACTCGGTGTGCCAGACGATTGCACTGGGGGGCGCAGCATTGTTGCGGCAGTGAGATGTGAATGAGCTGGAGGGATAATGTAGCACATCTCAGGCGTTAACGCTGAGTTGAGATGCGTCCAGCACCACACCGCTAGCACAGCCGACGTTGCAGTCAAGCCCTTCACCGGCATCTCCCACTCACGTTGTTAGGTAGCTGAACATTCTGCCAATTCCCTCGTTCCTCGTCGTTTTTACGCTAATATCTTGCATCGACCGCCGGATAGCTTCCAAGAGCATCAGTTCCTCTAGCCGCGCAGCGTCTGCGGATGTTGTCGCAACGCGGGACGCTGCATCATTCAGCGCTGCGACACGATTCAGGTGTGGGCTGTTGGTCACAGGCTTGTCGCGGATGCTAAGCTGTAAGCGAAGCGAATCGCGAATCCGATCACGGTCTCCCGCTGACGCGTACTGCACACCCTTCAGACTTGACGTCATAGTGCACTCTGTTTCTGTAGCTTTGGGGATGCCAATGGCGCTACTTCGACGCGGAGACATTCCGTTCTACAATGTAATGCAAAACATGAGGCTTAGCACATAATCGCACAGTGTAGGAGGGAATCAGGGGCTGCGCTTACTGTCACGGAATGAGTCGAGGTGAGCTCTGTCGGTGTCAGTGGCGTGTACAGGACAGTTCCCCCTTCATGGTTGCAAAATGGACAGCTACAGACAGGCCACACAAAACACACGTGAGTTAGAAGCCATCAATCTTGAGTCTCTGGACGGCAAACTGTCGTCACGCACGAAATCATTTTGCGTGGCGGCCGAATCTGGAGATAGCACTCGGGAGCAAATGGGTTTCTTGCAGCAGCTCGACGTGTTCAGACTCCTGGGGTAAAACTAGAAACAACGTAACGTCATGCAGCGCCAGCCGGTCATTAGTTGGTCCACCATGGCAGTCTCCTCCCATCTCTCTTTCACCATATAGCAAATCGACACTCGAGAGTGAATCCCTCCCCTTCATCTCTTTGCCATGAAAGCGCGGCGCCAGTTTGCGGTCGACAATCAAACGGCGCGCAATCTTGCGCTCCCACGGACAGCTCGGGTATAGTCTAAACGACAGCAAATTCTATACCCAAAGGAGGTTACGTAGAGGGGTACGGCAAACGTATCCCGTCGGCTTCGTGTACTTCTCAAGCTCGCGCGTGGAAGGTATTATCGAGAAATACCTTTGTCAGAAAACAAATCTTAAAATGAATAGGGACTATAACATATAAAATTTGAAAGAAGGGTGCGAGTCCAAGGAAAAGGGGTGTGAATTTAGTAATTCCCTAAATTTATAAGCGATTTAGCCGAACTCAGATGGCGAACACTAAGTACTGACCAGATTTTAGAAATTTTCGCTGAGGGCGCGCTTGCTTTAACAAATAATCACAAGGGAGACCACCACCAAGCCTATTCGACCATATATCATCAAATTCACGGTAAGATAGGAGTGCGAGCTCTTGATCTCGCATTAATATGAGTGATTGAGTCCATAGAACCGAATCGAGTTCTGTATATTCACGTTCCCATTTGAGAAAGGTGGTGACGAGATAATGAATTATGGTGTTTGTAATTTTATAATAGAAGTGCATACACGTGTTTCGTATGAAAGCTACTCGTTGGTGAAGTCGATAAGAAAATTGGATAAACCTGCTCGGTAATGCCGCAAACAATAAAGCGCGGCCTAGGACACCTGTTACACTAATAATAAATAGAAAACGATCAAAAAGATTTTGTGCTGATAAAAGATGGATCAAAACTGTAACGGGGTAGCCCGTTACATGATATTGACACCACATGGTGTCAATAATGAGATTGTCTAGCGCGTAATTTCTTACCAATATTACCCGAGATAGCTAATATTGAAGGTATACCATCCCGTCGTGGCACCCAAACAAAGTGCTACAATGTGTAACCGGGCACCCTTTGTTTGGGTGCCACGAAGCTTCACGTACACTCGTACGTGCAGAGGAGAATAATCTATTCAACAGCTAGGTTGAGTAAAGGGTAAAAAGAGCACTGTATTTAATAGTTAAGCTATCAATTTAACATCAGTCTTTATCGAACTATATTAATCTATATTGTCGTACGATGACTACCTGCTCACCAGTTATTTCGCGCGTCTAGCAGGGATTGGTGATAAATATTTATAGAGGCCAGCAACACGCTGCTATTAACAAGTTCCCACAAGGGAAACTTGCCATCGAACGACAGAAAATAGTCTTACTACAGCAGCAAGGCTCTCATCAACTGATGGCGGGCTGACGCACATGCGACGACCCGTAACCTTGAAGATAGATATCTCAAGGTACAAGGAAACCGATGAAGGTTCCCTTTTGAGATGGTTCGTCGAGCTAGACGACGATGCCATCAGGGCCCGTCACATCGAGGGTGACGAGATGCAAGTCACCTCCACCCTGTCAAATTTGACAGGATGATCAAAGCCTTGGGCCTTAGTGCTCAAGCTTCACGACCCAAACGTGTTTGAGTCGTTGGAGACCTTGAAGTATCGGCTTAATGAGACTTTTGAGATGCAGAGAGCCGAGTGCAGAGCACGCTCGGCACTCTTGAGGCTAAAGCAAGATAAGCGTCACGTGCACGCTTAAACACAACGCCTACGCTACCTTGCTAGTAGCTTTACGGAGAACCCTGTTGATGAGCACACGCTTATCAACGTGTTCATCTACGGCCTTGTGCATGGGCCGGTGACGACCTACATGTTCCGAGAGGACTTCCATACACTGGAAAAGGCGAAAGCGTATGCGGAACAAGAAGACTTTAGCCTATGACAGTCTCATGCTAACTCGTCAAACTATCGTCCGACAAGACGACAGGAAACAGGAGGTCCTGAACCAATGAACCTCTGTTTCATCGAGATCGAGAACTCTTGCTCTCTGAGTTACAAGCGAACGGCAAGATGCCATCTCTGCCAGAAGATTGGACACTACTCTCATGAGTATAGTGTCTCAAGCACCGCATCACGTCCAAAGACAGGACGTGGTGACCGCCGTTGGCCAAGGAAAGGTCCAAGGTCTAGGTCCGCCATGTCGCCAAACCACGACAGCAAGTCTGACCGCCAAAAAAACGTTCAGGGCCAGTGGAGGTGAAGCACACGACTGATCCAGCAACGTCAAGAGGATTTGCAGGTCTCTTGACGAAGATTGCTCCCAACACACAGTGTCTGTGTGCTACTGCCCCTAGTGATGAGGAATCCCTCATCGCTTTAAAGATCGAGTGACAAATGGAATGTCACTTCGCGCCCTAGATGACTTTGGGGCGTCTAAAAGTTTCATTCGACGCCAGTCGCTAGGGTATAGTATGCTCAACTATGTTGAGCGAGAGTTCCCTCAAACGAGGATGACGGTGTGCCTTGCTACAGGCGCATCCGTAACAGTGAACAAACGTGTAGTGGGAATTTACTAAACGCTAGAAGGAAAGCAGTACGATGATGACTCCATCGTGCTAGATTTTAATGTCAAATTCGCTGTCATCCTCTGTCTGCCATGGCTTAGAAAATACCAGCCATGGATCAGTTGGCAGCATCGATCCGTGAAGATAACTGCTGTTTGTTCATCGGATGGCCATCTGATGAACGTCTTGGAGCGTCCACAAGCGTGTGAATATACTATGAGTGAGTGCGATGGCCTCACTTGTGGTACGGTCGTTAGTACGATTGCACAAGATCACAGTGTAGAAAGACACTACACTGTGGAAGCAGCTTCCGGTACCTGTCTAGAGACACAGGCTACGCCGAAGGTCCACCACTCGAAGATATCGAGTGGACTGGAACACGGATGCACACCAAGTAGGATGCATCCTAGAAGAGAGATGAGCGTTGTTTAGAATAAACAACTCGTCAAACCGAAATCGACTTATAGAGAGTCGATCATAGAGCAGATATGATCGACTGAAAGAGAGTAGATCGAAGAGGACGTGACGGTGGTAGTGCAACGGGATAAAAGAATCAAATGAAATTAATCAAGGATGTTTGCAGCTTTACTGAACAAACCTTACATATGATATCATTTGGAAATGTATATTTGTCAATATTAGTGTAAATTCATTGTAACGATACGATTGGATGGAGTATTTGCGGTGGTCTAGCGGTGTGGAAGCACTAGTTGTAATTGCCACTACCTGATTGAACGCCATAAATGCTGTCAATAAATTTGCCCTGGTGGTACTAAATATAACAGATGATTTGAAACGAAATTGTCATAATTGTGTTTAGAGGCTAGCTACCGGCTTGTCTAACATATAGCACGATATTTTGTCAATAGGCTTAAGTGTTCTTCAAATGATCGTAAATCTCTGTCGATTTAATCAGCAGGCGTAGAATCAACCTTGCTCCATCTCATATTGTTTAACCAATGTCAAAATGATTTTTATTAGTATTATATCTTTCCTCTTCGTCTTGGAAACAATCACATTACAAGATCTTGCGAATATTCTAATGATGAAAGTGGAGACGAGCATTATTATGTCGATAAGCTCCTTTGAGAAAGGTGATACACTAACAAAGATGAAGTTATAATCTTATTGTTTCATTACTTACGAAATCATGCCCGTCTGTACGTGTAGAGGCAAAAGATAGATGATGTCGTAAATCTGGGTGCTTGCAGCGTGACCATCGTTTTGTAGCGCGTTGCGAATTTAGAACCACTAAGCCTACAAAACATTTCTTTCACTCCTGTCAGATACCTAAATGTACATGTGTGGCAAAGCGGTCACAAGTAAATTTCAATTGGGAATTGGATCGGCGATCGCACGGGTCGCACGCTTCAGTTAAGCCAAAAATGCTATGATTGGTGGATACAAGCTGGGATAGGTAGCTGGCAATAACGTACCCAAACCCCAAGTAAACAGGATCGTCCAGCCTGGGACGAGGCTATAGGGTGGCCACACCCGTTTAATTACGCAATCCGTCTTGAGACATGGCAAGCCAAGACCCTCGATCTCGCTGGAAGACCGTGATCCTAACTTAGGATCGCAAATCCGATCTTCAGCGACGATCCGCTACGGGATCACGATCCGCTAACAGGATCACGATCCGCTAGTAGGATCACGATCCGCAAGTAGGATCACGACCCGCTAGTAGGATCACGATTCGCTAGTAGGATCACGATCCGCAAGTAGGATCACGGTCCGCTAGTAGGATCACGATCCGCTAGTAGGATCACGACACGCTAGTAGGATCACGATCCGCTAGCAGGATCATGGGGATATCTTGGATAGGCCACAAGAAGATACAGCGGTTGATATACTGGGTATGGACCACACAAATGCGAGGGGACGATCTTCCTGGAAAGGCGACGCGTGGCATCGGGTTATGATATACGGATAGGCATCGGGGTAGGGTTTAATGTGGTTCATTTAACATAAAACAGAGTCTTAATTAGCTCACAAGGCACATGTTATCTCTTCCAGGTAGGATCTTTGGCACCCGTCGAGTAAAGAGTCGCGCTACACGTCTACGCAAGTGACACAACTGGATTGTTTCGGCCAGGTGAGTTCAAGAACTCTCAAGCAACATCAACTGCGATCGGACGCAGCAAGACACGTAAAGGCAAGGCACAAGATCGTGAGACGGCTCAAGTGACCAGAAGGCTCGCGGATCGGGCAATCACATGGTGGACAAGGCGATCTCGTTAAGATCAGGGTAACTTATATCAGTACTCACAAGTACACCGTGATCGCGTAAAGATTTTCGCAAGACCACAACCTCATCCCCAACACGGTCAAGTTTTCCTTCGACACGAGTTTACCT